AGTTTATATTTTTGTTCATGTGCATAGCATTTATAATGTCAAAATACCCTCTTTTTTTTTTCTACTTACCCAAGTTTTTTAAAAGATGAAAAGGCCCTTTTTCTTCACTTACCCAAGTTTTTAAAAATATATAAATACTCTTTTATTTTCTACTAAAAATATGTATTCTCTCGCATTCTACTCTATTAATATTTACAATATAAAAATACTTTATTGTTGTCCTTAATATAATTTATTAAAAGACAAAAATACTCTTTTATTTTATATATATATATATATATATATATATATATATATATATATATATATATATATATATATATATATATATATATATATATATATATATATATATATATATATATATATATAGAGAGAGAGAGAGAGAGAGAGAGAGAGAGAGAGAGAGAGTATTATAATAAATGTAACTTGATTTTGTTTATCATGTCCGTTGTTCATCAAACATTATACATGACAAAAAAATGTTCATTATTTTAAAGGCCCGTAATGTGTTGTTCTGTCTAATACTTACCATTTTACAAATCAAACAAAAATTGTTCATTATTTTAAAGATCCGTACTGTGTTGTTCTGTCTAATACTTACCATTTTACAAATTAAACACACTCTAAAAATATTATAAACCAATTTTAAAAAATATTTAATTGATTAAAAAGTAATTATCTATAACATATATAAAGGAAATTCTTCATTTTGGCCTGGTCCTTTTTATGTTTCCCAACTTACCCTTACTTGCAGTTAACTACACACTACATGCTAATATGTAACCTCCAACAACACGTCAAATAACTTTCTACAACACATCAAATATACCAAGAACTTTCTCCAGCACCATTATATATGACTAACGTCCAGACAAGCACTCTCGTGTCCGTCTGTCCGTTTTTTTAATACACACATAAAAGTTTAAATGATATTTTTTATCTAATATTAATTTTAAATGAAAGTTAAGTAGGAAGTTATTAGTAGAAAGTTAAGTAGAAAGCTATGTAGGAAGTTAACGGAGGTTATTGAGTAAGTTATACATTAAAGTAAAGATAAAATTAATATAGAAATAGACTACACCAAAACACCATGTTTTCCCTTGATATGTTATAGATAACTATATACAAGTTTACAAAGGAACAAAGAGAGAGAGAAATAATAACAGATGAGAGACATTGGAAAGTGGGTACACACTTCTCCTTTATTCCAAATCCTATGTACCTTTACATTCTCAAAACATCTCACAAAATTTTTTTTATGTACCTTGCTCTACTAAATGTCTGTCAAACAAACTGCAATGTCTGTAAGTTATAGTTTTGCATACATCTATTAGTATAGATAAAAAAGATATATGCAATTTCTATAAATTTGCATACATTTATATAAATTTGTATGTAGTGCTTGAATTTTATAGGATTCAATTGTTATTTTTTTTGGTTAAGTTTTCACTTGAACTTTTTATATTTTTTCTTTTTGATTTTGAAATTTATATTTAACAGATTTAATTTTTTTAAATCGAGAATAGGGGCCAGAAGTTTCATGGTACACTATTTTTCTATTTCTTTTTAATTCCGAAAAGAAATTAAATATCAATTCTCTGGAAGTTCAATTGGTTGTTTTTCATTTTTATTTTCTTCTTCAGTTTTTTCAATTGATTTTGATTTTTTTAGTGAGTGTCAATTTCTCTCATTAAAAAATCAACAACATTTGTATTGAGATATAGAAAAATGTGGAACTTGAGATCAATTGTTATTATTTCAATTTTATTTTTTTAGTATGACTTTTAATGTGAAATTTTCACCTCAATAACCATGATTTCTCCCCCTAATTTTTATTATATCCATCTTTTCATCATATTTACCAATCTAACCAACTTTTTTTTTTTTTTTTAAATTACAAGGGGGCGTCATCCCCTTTGACTCCTCCCTTATAAATTATAGGGGGCGCCATAGGGGTTGGCTCCCCTTCCTTAATTTTTAAGGGGGGCGCCATGGGGGTTGGTTCTCCTTCATTAATATTCAAAGGGGGAGCCATAGGGGTTGGCTCCTCCGTGACAAGTGTACGAAAAAAGTGATTTGCATGCATGCAGAATGCCAAAGGGGATTTAAGGGAGGAGGCAAAGGGGATGGCGCCCCCTTTATAAATTATAGGGTGCCTCCAACCTGGATGGTGCCCCCCTATAATTTATAAGGGAGGAGCCAAGGCCAATGGCGCCCCCTTATTATTTTTATAAAAGAAAACGTAAAAGTTGGTTAGTTTGGGATATATGTTGAAATGTTGGGTAGTTTGAAATATATGGTGTGAAAACATGGTTATTTGGGTGAAAAATTCCTTTTAATGTATCTTATGTGGGTGTTTATTATTTCTTTTATAATTGTTTTATAAAATTTTAATAAAGTGATTTCAAATAAAAAGTATTAATGACAACTAGAGATCAAGAATTGTGATGAATGGTTGAAATTGGACTCCCAATCAACAAGGATTGTGAACCGTGATAAAAAAATTTAAACTATTTGTATTAATGTTATCTTTTATTATTTTATTTTTATCCTTCATTCTCTTTAGAAAGAAAAATTAGGTGTCTTATTATTTACAATGTTGTTGGTGACCCATGGTCTAATGCATGTTTACATTGAATTAGAGGTTTTTTATTTTACAATGTATATTATGTTATAGAAATGTGAAATTATTGTTTTAACTCTGATTTATTTGAGTAAAAGAAACTCTGGTGTGTTAATATGAAAATAGTTAATTTTTTATTATATTGATATTAATTTTATAGGATTGTAAATTAATTGTCATGGTTATTATATATTTATTGCAAAATTAAATTACTATACACAAATAAAAATAATAAAATTTATTAAATAAATAATTTAAATTAAGATCAAAATTAAATATAAAAATACATTTATATATTGAAGGATTCCATATAAAAAGTAGACAAACAAGCATGGAAGTATCTGTTTGAACGCTAATAGATATATAAATTAAGAGATTACGCCATTTTTTGTAACGAAAAAATAGAAAAATGATGTGGTCGAAATTCAAAGCAGGTAATCCTTTACCTATATCACCACATTTGTTAGTTTGAACAGTGATAAAAAAGTGTTTTAATAAATAAATAAATAATTTAAAAAAATTCAATAAGAGTTATTACTTCTGATTATACGATCGAAATTATAAAATCTTAAAAAAATATATATTATTGTAGTGACTACAAGCTTTTCCACCATCCCATCATTTTTAATCACAAAAGAAACTTTTTCATTAACAATTTCCCTCATCTCATCATTGGTCCTCTTTTCACAAGCTCACACAAATGCTCACTAAAAGTTTTTCCTTAATTGAATATCTTTGTTTTTTGACTATTACTTTATTAAAATTACAATTGACATAGATGTTGATCAATCATATGTAATCCTTAACCTCAATCTCTCATGTTGATTCAAATTTGTATTTAGGAAAAATTACATTGGTTGTCCTTTAAATTGTTATTTTTGTAACGATTTGATCTTTAAGTTTTTTTAACTACTTGATCTTTTAAAGTAATTTTTACCTCTTTATTCTTATATTTGAATACTTAGAAATGTGTAACTGTTGTATTTTTTATTGCATTTTATCATTTGCATACCACTCAAAGTAATTATATTCAGAATTAACAAATTTACTATGTTAAAAAAAGATAACGGTACACACGTTTGATAACTTGGCTTTTTCGATAGTGCACTAGTACATTACTACTATTTCTTTAGATATTTAACTTTATAAATATTTTAATATTCAATGTTGGTTGAATTGAGTGAAAGACCTGAAGAAATGATGAAATTTTAATGTTGGTATTCTTTTACAATTGTTTAGGCAAGCCCCATTTAACAAATGTTTATGCCAGATTTTGAAATGAAAAGTAAAGCAAAAATAGAGAAAGAATATCTAGCTATATGATGAAAAAACATGAACGCCTCTCTACTATAGGAACAACAGTTATTAGATTCCAACCATAACACTTAAACTGTTTTTTTAATTAGGTGTGGAAGTTAATATAAAGTTTGTTTTTATAAGATGAATAAAAGTTTGTTTTTCCGTAGCTAAGTCTGTTTCTATAAGGTTGTGTTTTTTTATTTTTTATTTTATGCTATTGGCAATTAGTGTGCGAAATCTCTAACAAGAATCTAATATTTTATATTGCAACATGCCATAGATTAACATAGATAGGAGCATTAGAAAATTCTAAACATATCCCTTATATATTGAATGTTAATTTCGATTGATGTTGTGGAAGTTTAAAATCAGAATATCAAGGGTTTAGGGTTTTTCAATTTAATTAGGTAAACTGTTTGAAATATAAGAAACCGATGTTAGAACCTAAACAAACTATCCTGGTGAATGAATGGAGAACTGACTTAATTTGGAGAAAATGAAGTTAAGAGATTGAAAGAGAATTGAGAGAGTGATTGAGGGTGAGAAGAATAATTGGCATTAATTATAACGTGAGAGCTTACAAGGCCTTTTATATGGCAAGTACACACAAACAATTGGATATAACAAAAACAAATTAACTCAATAAGCTGAAAATAACAAAAACTGGAAAGAAAATAAAAATCTACTTTCGTAACAAGTTACACAAAATGTCGTAACTGGTTACGAGTCCGATACCAATAATTCCTAGCAAAAAAACAATTTTGTAACCGGTTACGACAAAATCCGTAACCGGTTACCATAATTGAAAAGTCAAAAATCAGGTTTTAACAACCGAGACGTATGAAAAATAGTGTGTGTACAAAAGATATTACGGAGATTGTATTATATATAGAGATTATATTTAATTAGATGTTATAGTCGATGTGAGAATATTTTATATATAAATTTTTCTTAACACTCCCTCTCAAGTTGGGTTATATATGTCATATAAGATGATCTTGTTAGAAATGTAATCCACACGAGAACCCCTAAGAGACTTTGTAAACATATCAACAAAGTTTCGACCGCCAATGAAATGGGAAATTGGAAGGATGGTCAGTGGTTTTGGAAAGTTAGAGAAACTTTGATAGACGAGGGACCCAATATTGAAACAGAATGGTCTGACTGCAGTTTTCTGTTGGAGCAGGTGGCAGCAAACATCAATGTTGAAGATAATTGGAATTGGCTTCTTCACGACTCTCTTTCGTATAAGGTAAGCTCCTTCTATAATGATTTATCCTCTTCTGATCCTGCTCTCAATATTGGTAGTGATAGCGTAACACTTCTGGAGATCCTTCGGAAAACTGTTTTACCGGCAAAAGTCCAAACTTTTATCTGGAGGTTGGCGCTCGATAGGCTGTCTACTAGATCTAATTTGATGAGAAGAAAGGTTATCGATTTCTCCCAAAATTCGGATTGTGTGTTCTGTTCGTCAAGCTATAAGGACGTTCCACATCTCTTCTTCTCGTGCTCTAAATCTTCGTTGGTGTGGAATAGGATTTGTGACTGGGTAGATATAGAGAACATCTCAAAGGATTGTTGTAGTACCCATGTGAAGGTCTGGAAATTGAGACTTCTAGGCCGTTGCAAAGAGGACAAGATCAACTCAATTTGGTTCATCTCTTGCTGGAGTGTATGGAGGGATAGAAATAACACCTTTTTCAGAAATGAAACCATTGATGTTGAGGACATTGTTATAGATATTAAAGTTATCTCATGGAATTGGTTGATTTTAGGTAGACAGGAAAGTAATCATTGTAGCTTGTATGAATGGTTTAAATTCCCGTTCGATTTTATGTAATAGTCCTATTTTAGGCTGTGGTTGTACTCTTGTTTGTTCTGATATTTTCTTAATCTCCATTAATATATTTCTGCTTATCAAAAAAACTAATTGATCTTTGGATTTTACAAAATCTATGTTGATTTCTCTTGATAGTACATTGTACCGTATATAACGACAGTTTAATTATATGTGCTTGGCCCGTTCATGGAAAACTAGATTAGATGCAATGTGGGGTGTTGCTTGATTATCGCATGAGTTTTGTGTTCTGAAGATCTTGATATTGTACCCTAAACACAATATCTGGATGTGAATCTCCTATTTGACAGTGATCCATCTCAGTCTGCATTTGAATAACAAATGGTTTTAATATTAACCTTATCTTTATATAATAATACTCTTCCTGGTGTATTCTTTATATATCTAAGAATTCAAATGACTACAATTCAACGACTATCACAAAGATAATTCAGAAATTGACTCACAATGCTCACCACAAATGTAATATCCTGTCTGGTGACTGTAAGATAGTTTAGTGTTTCTGTTAGAAACAAGGGTAGAGTATCGGGGTTTGTTATCGTCCTCAAGGATTATGTGATATTGCCGCCGTTCGACAGTTGTTAAATTCTTAATTTATAGTAACAAGGGGGTTTTAGTTTTCGGCTACGGTATCTTGCATAAAAAGTAAGAATTTGCGGTAAAGGTTTAGGTTTTACGATTTGAGAAATATTATCAAAGTTAGGGTTCGACGATCACTTTGCATGCATATGTTCGATCAAATAAAACTCATAAACTCCATTCGATGATAAACACATTCACAATATCCTCCCAATGTGATTATTTCTAACACACGTTGTGGTTTTTCCCATTTTGATCCATTGTTGATTTCTCACACAATCTATCAAAATGACAACTTTTAGGTTTAACATTTTAGTGAACAACCACATTCAAAACTATCTCTATCTCAAGAACATAGATGGATGAAAACCTAGGTCAAGAGTTGGAAAACACCTTTCAATAATAAACCAACACAAAGAGTTATAAATAAAACAAGGTTTTCACCATACATTCATCATCAAAGAGTTTACAAATGAAGATCAATCCATATACACACAAAGCTTATGATCATCTACGTCTAACCTTGACAAAAGAAGAGTTTAGCTACTCATTTCCATGGTAGCTTGCACAATAAGTTTCGGGAGAAGGTTGATCAACATCCGAGTCGAAGAATCGAGATTGGATGGGAATCCACCTTCTTTTTGGAAAATATTGTCAAAAGATGATGAAAAATGAGATATTGGGTTTCTAGGGCACAAAAATCAGCTTTGGAGCAAAAACTAGTAAGAAAGAATGTAATGTTTCCAAAAAGTAACCATGCTACTTATAGAAAAAGGTGTTGAGCTGTCATGCTCGCTAGGCGAGCAGAATGGTTTTCCTAGCGAGCCCTAAAATATGGTACCAAACAAGCCTGCGTCCAGAGGATTCAACCCAAATAATTCTGGGAGTGTTTGTTAGGCGAACAATCCTTCGCTAGACGAGCACTTCGCTGCTTCATTCGCCACAGCGAATGTTGGCCAATTTGCTACTGGAAGTGTTTGCTACTTGCTCGCTAGTGCTTCACCTAGCGAGCACTTCGCTTCCTTCCTCGCCATAATGAATGCTGATCTTTTTGATTTTGTCCATGTCTGGAAGTGTTCGCTAGCAGCTCGCTACGTGCTCGCCTAGCGAACACTTCACTACCTCACTCGCCAGTGCTTCACCTAGAGAGCTTGCTTTTGATTGCTTTCTTTCTTGATTCCTTTGCCATCTTTCTTGTGTCTTCAATTTCTACTCTTTAGTGCGTAATTACTGCACAATAACATACAAATTAAAGGTACCAAGAGCATTTTACATAATATCGCATATCAACAAAAGCAAGGGCGGTTTTGAACACTTTCTTGACAAAAAGGAGTGAAATATGCCCACATTTGATAGCTCAAATAAACACAATTGAGCATCTAACAACTCTCCCCAACTAGATTCTTGCTTGCCCTCAAGCAAAGTATGTCTCTTAAAGAACAAGAGGATTTGCTTAAAGAAAAAGATTTCTCCGAAATCGGATCAAATGGCTCAAACACAAGAGAATTAGCCAGACACGAGTTCCCAATGGTTAGAATAACACAATACACAAGAACTAAGACCTTATAGCAATGTAAAACATGTATCAGTCCACAACAATGTTATCCTGAATGAATCACCCCATCTCTCCTCTTCGAATAAGGATTGAGGAAATTACGCGTATGCAACCGCGGGGACAATTTCACTCTCCAACAAACAATGCAAAAATCAATTCAATTCATATAATGTCTAACAATTATAATGAAAATGCGGAAGCACGAAGATCACTAAGGTCTTTACCGATTGTAGCTTGGTCAGGTTTACAAACAAGGGACATATCTAAGGCCATTGAAACGAAATTTCCGATGCAAAAGAGACATTCACTGTACAACTATTCACACATCCCAACTTCGTTCTACTTGTTTCTCATTTGAAACCAGCAGGTAATAAACCAGATCGAATTTACTCTATTCGCTTTACACCGACCTCTAAGGCTTGAGTTCCACACCTTAGCGTGAGAATAACAACAACTTTTCGAAATTATATCTATATCCGCCCACAATAGAATTAACTAACAATTCATTCACATGACAATAACAGTATAAACTCACAATAGCATAACATTAACTGACATTTAGCAAGAAGTTCAACATAAATAACTACCACAGATAACTAACTTCATTCCAGTTAACACTCTATTCCACAACTGTCAACTAATTTTAACTCACCACCAAATGCTAACTACAAGGTGTAAGGAACAAGAACAGCAAACAGAACTATAACTGAATTTTAACTCTAACAGATTTTCAAACTAACTTAACTGAATCATCTAACAGTGTTATAACAGTTAACTGACTTGTACTTGAAATTTGTAACAGAGCTTAACACCGTTAAATATCTAAATCTTTAAATTTGTCACATTCAATTTCATTAATTCACCAGTCATTATCATTGAAATTCACCAATCACACTCTCTGAGTTCACTCTGAAACTCAACAATCATCACTTTCTCCACACACTCAGTTGCAACCAACAACAGCGAGAACACATTAACACCTTCATCCTTCGGACTATTGAAGATTAGAAGAAGAGAAGAAAGGATAAAAGTGAGTAGAATTTGCGTTTACCTGAGGATTTCATGCAGATTCTGATAGATTTTATATTGATTGAATAGATACAAATTACAACATATTGTTATATTAAAGAATAATCAACAATGATAAAATGAGTATACCTTATAGGATTTGAGAGACGGTCGTCAGAAGAGTGAGTATGAGAGAATTACTACCCTTATTGTTGTTTAGGATTTTCAAAGTATATTAATTGTCTAATGGGGAGACACTTAAATAGATAAACGGCTAAGGGCAGAAACCTCTCATTGGGCTTAACTTAATGGTCTAACCCATCACAGTCCATTCAAGCACAAAATTCAATCAAACAATTCATCTATTTAATGTTTAATAATAATAGACCATGATATAATTAACTAATAACTAATTATGTCAATCTATATTTGATTAATTAAATAATTAATCTAACAATCTCTCACTTGATAATGACAATAATTAATTATTAAAAGTATTAATTTTAATATTAAAATATCAATAATGGTCAAAACACTCATAAATCAAAAAGAAGTAAATTTCAACTCTGTAGAAATTGTATTCGATAGGGAAGACAAATCATACATGTTAAAATTCAGAACTTTATATAAAGAATGATGAATCTAGAGTAACATATTTAAGAGTAATATGTTATAAAAAATGACCCAAACATATGAAAATGCTATTGATAAACTCCCACTAACCCAAAGTTTCATAAGACTTACTCATGTGTATAAGTCTATGGTTAGTAATTATACTAATGAGTTTTAAATTATAGGTCATAGAATATCCACATACGTCTAAAAATAGCAATTACATATATGTATACCCTATTATGAAAGTAATTACATTTAATCATAAGTACTTTTATAATAGAATATCATACTCAATAGGAGTATTGATATTTACTTGTACTTTCATATTATGACCTGACAAATATGGACTATTGAAGATAAAATAGCACAATACTATCGCATGTTCAAGAATTATTGTGTTGTTTCAATATTGACCTAAATATCAAATTATGATGTTTCTTGAGATTAAGAGAATAATATATATCTCAGTATAATAGAATAAGACTTCTTAGAGTTATTATATATTTTGAAGTCTTTTTAGAATATGTCATATTTTATAATGTATGCACTCCCATTGGCTATATTAATAACTCACTAAAAACTCAAATGCTACATATATAACTACACACATTTGAGACACATATTATGTTATATGTAGCGAAAAAATATGAGACTTTAAATTTAACTATTATTGAGGATATAACACAAATAATCATAAACTTTATTACTAACATAAGAATATAATATTCTCAACATAAGTATCTATAATGTAATAAATAAATAATATTTGTTTCTCAATTTTATAAACTGACATGTTAAATTCTCCCACTTAATAGAGAATAATAGCTGAACTAAGATTAAGAGTTTTGAAAAAAATTTAAACAAATATTCAACTATTTTCTTTATCACACAATAATCATGTCAAGTAACATCACACCGATAGGGCATGTCCATCACTTATATAATATAAAGATAATTGAAATCCATTTTTTTTTTAAAATTGAATAAAAACTATTGGATTTAATAAAGTATTACATATCTTTAAAATAATTTCTTATTTCTCAAATAATACTTTCAACAATTTTAAATAAGAAATAAAACAATGTACAAATATTATGTCACAAAAAATTGATATCGATAAGGTATTCGAATAATAATTTACATAATCATAAGTCAAAAGTACATTGAACAAAATAAATTATACTAATAATAATATACCGATAGAGTATAACTATTATTAATATAA